CGGCGGCGAGGAGGCGGCCAATCGGGGCTCGACTCGTCTGCTCCTCGACCACGGCCAGGTGGAGCGCGAGTCCCGCCGGCGGGTACAGCGGGCCGAGGCCGCGCGGCGCCGACAGCTGGACGAAGCGGGGTCGGTTGTCGTTGACGTCGCGCAGGGTCACGTTGACCGGTTGCCGGGTCTCTTTGGCACTCGGCGACCGGTTGTCGGAGCAGACGACGCTGACGGGCAGCCAAGCGCGCGATTCGCGGTCGAGCCGGACGCCGGAGCGCTTGAAGAGGCGGAAGAGCCGCGGCGCCGCCGGCGAGGCCTGGGCTCGAGCCTCGCGCAGCTCAAAGGCGGGCGCGTGGGCCGGCTCGAACGAGACGATCTGGTCGAGGCGGCAGGTCAACTGGGCCACGTCGCCGGCGTCGGCGTCGGTCACGCTGACCGTGGCCAGAAAGACCGGCTCGGCCGACTCCTCCGTCAGCCACAGCCGGACGGCCCGGCCCGGCCCGACTCGCGCCGCTCTCCAATCAGAGTCGCCGTTGGCGCGGGACTCGAGCTCAGGCTCGAGCTCCGATTGGGCGGCCGCGGAGGGGCGCACGATCAGCTCGGGCGCATGCTCGTTGCAGTCGAGCACGTGGACGTCGAGTTGGCCGGTCGCGGAGAGACCGCCGCCGTCGACGGCGTCGACGGCGACGCGGAAGTGCGAGCAGGTTTCGTGGTCCAACGGCGAGACGGCGAACAAGCGGTTGCCGTGAACGACGAGCTGCGGCCGCGCCGCCGACCGGCACTGGCTGGTCGCCGGCGCCTCCGCCTCGGCCAGACGGTACGTGATCTCGCCGTTGCGCCCCGCGTCCGCGTCGCTCGCGTTGAGCACAGCCAACAGACGAGCTGGCGACGGCGACGGCGACGGCGACGGCGAGGGTGGTCCGCCGGCCGAGTCGCCGGTCTCGCATTCGGCCAATCGGACGCGCTGCGGCGAGTGTTGCCATCGCGGCGGGTTGTCGTTGACGTCGGTGACGTGGACGAAGACGAGCAAATCGGCCGACTGGCCGGTCGCCTCGAGGGCGCGCAAGCAGAAGACGAACTCGGCGCGCCGCTCTCGGTCC